TCATGCCAGCTAACAAAGGAGAGATGTTTCTAGGGTCCTGCTCTGTTGTCACAAGCAAGGCAATGAAGGGGAGTGTGGAGCTGAGAGGCAATAACCCTTTGGCTACTGTTATTAAGAGACTGATTGTGAAGTTAATTTTTGACAGCGGACAGCATTGGGAAGAGGGAAAATAAGAAAATGGTTAGAATATACAAGTAAACATAAAACATAACAGAGAATAAAGAAAGCTATCACAGTTCTCATTTCTGTAATTAGTCACGAGACCATAATTGATATCTGACTTCTTCTACTACCCATTTGAGATTTCCCTTGCCTTCAGCCCATATTTAGGCGTTTAGTCTCTACTAACACCCAATAGCAAGTCCAAAGCTATTCCTTAGAAGGGGGATAGTTGTCTGCAGAAGAGAGTATATAGATTTTCTCCAAAATTCTAGAAGTTTGGGCTGTGATTCTCTGGACATTCAGCATCCCTATTTGTCATGGACACTTCAAGTATCATTGGGTCTGACAGATCAGAAGTCCTAAGTGGCAAAGCAGCTTGAACTGCATCTAAACTTGCTGCAGAGCCTTCTCTCGCTCTGGTCCCCACTGTTTCAGCCTTACAGGTAACTTTATGGTTCGGTTAAAGAAGTACACTTAAATGTGGGATATGTTGCCTACAACATCCAGAGAGGCCTGCTAAGTAAGCATTGTTGTACCCCTTTTTACACTGTTGTTGACGTGACTTGGTGATTCACCATCAAAGGAAAATCTTGGTTTGCTTTGGGCCATTGATTGCAAACACTTAATTGATGGGAAGGGCCCTTGAGTTTTTGTGGTTGGTCTCCCATCCTCTCCCTGAAGCATCTGTTTGCTGCTTCCTCCTCCTCAGGCCTCGTTAGCATAATGTCAGTGTAGTGGGCCACTTGATATTTTTTGGAATGGCATAAAGTTCAAGGCCTCTGAGCCATCTGATGGTAGAATTGATGTAGCCCTGAGGCAAGGCGCATGTGCATGTAAAAGCAAAATGCTTCTGATGGTCCTTGCCAGTCGGTAGGGAACAAGGACATAAGCCAGGTCAGTAGCAGTACACCAGGTGTCAGGACCTGGTTGGCTTGCTCCAGTAAAGATGCCATGTCTGAGGCATCAGCTGCCAGGTGGAATAATCTCCTGGTTCAGTTAGATACTTCACAGCCATTTGCCAGCGTCCTTCTGACTTCAGCACAGGCCAAACTAGTTAAATGGGGATGTGATAGATATCACCACCTTTGTTTCTTTTGAGTCTTTGATAGTGGCATTAAACTCTTTATCCTAGGCATATAGTATTTCTTCTGGTTAAATATATGTGTGTGTGTATATAGTATATATATGTATATATACATATATATACTATATATGTATACATATATATACTATGTATATAGTATATGTATATAGTATACTATATATATAGTATATATATATATGTTTTTATTGATTTTTTTAGGGACAGAGGAAGGCAGAGGGAGAGAGAGAAACATCAATGAAAAACATTGATTGGCTGCCTCCTGCATGCCCCTTAGTGGGAATTGAGCCTACAGCCTGGGCATGTGCTCTGACCTGGAATTTGCTTTTATGTACTGTTTATATTGTTCAAGGATTAATTCCTTGTGAAAAGTTCTCGGATGTGAATTAGAGGATGTCCACAAATTGTACACTTTAAATATGTGCAGCTTATTATATGTCAGTTGTACCTCAATAAAACTTTATAAAATTATTAAGGACCCTAAGGAGCTTTTGTTTATATGGGTTATATCTACCAGTATTTCTCAAACCAGATATTAGAATTGAGAGACTTTTACACTAGTATTTAAAAATAACAATAATAAACTCATTAATGTTAACACTAACATTTTTCATAAGTATAGTTTCCCCAAAAAAAGAGTTTAGTAGTAAGGCTTTGGTTTTTCATTTCTCTAAATCTCTTTAATGTCTGCTTTAATAGAAGACAGCTAACTGTGTGTTCAGTCTGTCACAATATCTTGTTTGAATTTGAAGTACATGAAGAAACTTCACATATATATGTCCTTAAGAGGAGGAGTATTTTAATAGTTTTTTTTCAGGTAACTGGATATTCTTCTTTGATTGGATACAAATCTTGACAAGCAGTGGTTTCTTAAAGATTTTTGCAGTGTAGAATCTGAAACAATGAACTTTTTGTATTCTGTTATATTAAAAGGCTTTGGCTTATTTGTACTTGGAATAGGTCTTACTTGATAGAATTACTCTGGCTTTGATATATAGATATTTCTACTTAATTAATTGGTTTTAATATTTAGTCACTTGCCTTTTCTGTTAAATGCCCCAATTTCTCAAAGAAACTGGACCCTGTCTTTTCCCATTTTACTTTTATAGGAGAACCAAGGTATCTAAGGTTGTTTCCATTGCATTATATAGATTGCTTTTTCTTTTGAATTTCATTTTTCATTCTTTTACTGAAATAGACTCTGAGTGGACTGCAATTAATTATGCTAAAAAACCAAATAGCCACATTTATTCTGAAGGCTGTTGCTCCTGCCCGAAGCAGGAGCTTGCCTGCTTTGCTGAGGAGTTTTGCGAAGGAACCTAGGCCGGCAGCAGCGCAGGAGGGCCCGGGGAGCCTGTCAGCCGTGTGCACTGGCGGAGGCGGAGGCTGGCGCTGGTCCCGAATGCTGCCCTGGGCTGGGCTGGGCTGCGGAGCCACTGCGGAGGGGCAGCCAGTGCCGCCCGCATCTTAGAACCAGAGGTGCCTGTTCCTTCTCCAGAATGTGAGAGAAAAATGTGCCCACTTCTCTGGTTAAAAATCATGGGTTTTTACCAAAGGGTAAGAAATATAAGCAGAATCACTAGCCTTTTAAAGTTTATTTTAGGATAGACTGTTGTTTGAATTCTTTTGGGGCTCCTAATACTTTTCATACTAAATGTAAATCACTTTCTAGGAAGTTTGGTGTATAGTGTGAATTTATTAATTTAAATAATCCAGTCCAGATTAATGACTTTGTGGTAATTTTGATAAAAATTTTGAAAATAAAATAATCCTCAGACATCTAAGATCCTCTCAGGAGGTGTTCCTGAAGGAGTACACATCTAGGATAAATTACTGTTTCATTTTTCTCTTCTTTTTCCCTAAACCATTTCACGTAGGTGAAATCAGATTTAAATAATTCCATGAAAATAAAGGGCAACCTTGAAGGGGAAAATTTGCTCCTAGAGGCAGCCTGATGAGTTGAGTAGTCATAAAGGAGGGACAGTCCTGCCACTTCCCTTCTCAGTTTACCTTGAGGTTAGCTGTAGTGGTATCTCATAGGGATTAAAAAAGAAAAAGATTTTAGAGAGAGAAAGAGGAAGGAGGGGGAGAGAAACATCAATTTGTTGTTCCACTTTTTTTATGCATTCATTGGTTGCTTGTATGTGCCCTGACCGGAGATTGAACCCACAACCTTGGCCTATCGGGACAACACTCTAACCAATTGAGCTACCTGGCCAGGGCCTCATAGGAATTTTAATTTGCATTTCCCTAGTAACTAATGCTAATAAGCTTCTTTTCATGTGCCTATTATACATTTGTATAGTTTGGTGAAAATGTTCATTGGAATCCTTTGCTCATTTTTAAATTGTCTTATAATTGTGTAAGAGATTTCTTTTTCCAAGTCCCAGTTTGCTTTTATTAGATTCAACAGACAAAGGATAGTATTTTAATAAATATAATCAAAACAAAATACAGGAAAACAAAATAAAAACTGTATACATAGTTCATTGCAAGTATAAACAAAACAAAAAGTTTGATTGAAATAGCTATTTTCCCCATATTAAATGCCTAAAAACAAACACTATATGTACCAATATTTAAGTTATGTATAAATATTACATTTTTATTGTGATAAATGAACTTGTTAAAACCTATCTAATGTAGATTGTAATTATAATTGTGTTGTGAGAGATTTTAATCTCTTCTGCATACAGGTCCTTGATCATTAGATTTATTTTTCTCCCAAGTAATTGGCTTCTCTTTTCTTTTCATTTTCTTAATGGTATCATTGAAAAGCAAAAGTTTTAAATTTTGATGTTATCCAGTTTATTAATTGTTTCTTTTATGGATCATGTTTTTGGTGACATGTCTAAGAAATCTTTGCCTAATCCAAGATCACAGAGATTTTTCTCTCATGTTTTCTTCTATAAGTTTTTCTAGTTTTAGCTCTTACATTTAGGATTATAATTCATTTGGAGTTAGTTTTTGTTTATGGTGTGAGGTAAGTTTCCAGTTGTTGAAAAAAAATCTATCCTTTTCCCCCATTGAATTATGTTTTTAACATAAAGCATCTTTGTTAAAAACTAGTGGACCACAACTTTGTAGGTTTCTTTCTGAACTTTATTCTGTTCCATTTATCTAATGTATGGTCTATACCACACAGACTTTGTTACCACACAGACTTTTGAAATCAGGTCATGTAAGTCCTCCAACTTTTTTTTCTTCAAATTTGTTTTGACTTTTCTATGTTTTTTTGCATTTCCATATAAATTATGGAATGATTTTGTTGTAACTTCAAAAAATTCTGCTGGGATTTTAAATTGTAATTGCCTTTACTCTATTGATCAATTTGAGAATTGCCATCTTAAAACTATTGAGTCTTCCATTCATGAACATGATATATCTCTTCATTTATTTATCTGACTTTTTTTTCTTCTTTCATTCCAGTACTTGAGATGATGCTTTTGACAATTTTGTCCAATTTTTAGACTTGTTCTTTTGTGCATAAAAATCACCAGCCTTTTTGTTCATTCATAACCAGAAGTCCTCTGGCAGTATTTTTAACCTTGTAATATAACCTTATGCTTCCAGCATTTTATTGCCTTCTATCTTACAAATTTTTTAAAAGTTTTTGTCAGAGGCACTAGCAGGTATGATTGTTTTGTATTGTACTAGCTATAATACAGAAACTCAAGTCTAGTGGAGGGGAAAACATTGGTACTTTGTAACTTTTGTTTTACGTTTCTATTTGCAGGGTCTCCAACAGAATTCCTTGAAGAGAAAATGGCCTACCAGGGATATCAGAACAACCAGAACTGGCCAGAAAATACAAACTTTTGCTTTGCACCCGAGCAAGTGGTGAATCCTATCCAGACTGGTGAGTGCAGGCTTGCCTGTGATTACTGAATGTAAACTATGACATAAACATGAAAAAGCCACAATCACCACTCAGATAAAACATTTTAACCTAAATATAGCTCGTAAAGCACAGTCAAGGTATAATTAGTAACCCCTGAACATTTAGGTGACCCTTACTCCTCTCTGTTTATCTCTCCTTTGGCACATGCGCCTCTGGTTCTCGCTCCTTCAAAACCTGCTTTGAGTAAAGTAACTGAAATTCATATTCATTAAAGTTTAATTCTTCCAAAAGGATTTATTACAGTAATAATAGCACCATTTTCCCCCTTTTTATAGAGTTTATTGGAGCGACACTGGTTAACAGAATTATACAGGTCGCAGGTGCACAGCTCCACAACACGTCATCTGTGCATTGTGTTGTGTGTTCACCACCCCAGGTCAAGTCTCTGTCCATCACCACTTAATCGCGCCATTTGTTGAATGCCTGTTTTGTGCCAGGCATGGTGCTACAGCCTTTATATATATATTGTATGTGTTTCTTACCTAACTCTGCCAAATATATATTATACTCATTTGACAGAGGAGAAAACTAAGACTTATACCCACTTTGTATAAAATTCAAAATAATCTATGGCGTCAAAAAACATCTGAGCTGAAAGTAGTGGAAGGAACCGATTGCACAAAGCAGTAGCCTCAGTGCCTCCATGTCAGAGTTAACCAGGATGAGAGTTCAAGTTGTTTGTTTCCACTTATATATGGCTTTTTTTTTTGCCATCGAACTTACAATGGACATATAGCTGATTTCAAATTAGTGAATATTTATTGATTTCTTACCATTTTCAGTGACATTATCTCAATTTATTTAACTTAGTATTGACACGAAAGCTAGTCAGTATGCATTCTGGGGTAGTAAGGAATGCTATCTTTGTGGTCCTGGTCACTGGGGTTGAGTTTTAAATCCCTTCTTTATTCCAGATCCCTTTAAGATGCACTGTGGTGATGGCCTGGAAGATTTGCTCTTTTTTCCCAGTGGGACCGCCAATCCTTCAGCATTTACACAGCAAAGTGATCCCCTGAAAGACAGTTATGGTATGACTTCTCCAATTGGATTTATTTCTTAGCTTCAGACAATTAATGTGGCCTTGAACCCATCACCTTTGAAATGGACTACAAGGCAAAGTCATGTTTAGGGGCTCTGGCTGGGAGAGGGCACTTTCTAGATAAGTCCCAGGGAAGAATTCAGTTGGACTTTCTGGGCTGCTCCCCTCTTGTGATGGGATCTTGAATCTTCTGTCCTGGGCCAGGCCTGTCTCCACTTTTTGCTACGTCACTTATGGCCTTGGGCAAGTTTTGTCCCCCTAAACTTTGGTTTCTTCTCTCTAGAAAATGGGGCCAACAGTCGTCCCTACATTAATAACGAAGCGATGATTAAATAAAATGATGTGAAAGCACTTTGCATAGTGTCCATTACATAGCGAACATTAAGCAGACCTTAGTCATCAGTTACGAGTATCCTCCATGGTGTTGTATAATTTTTAAACAAAATTTTACTGCTGTTCATCTTAGGTTTTCAGCTGGACTCTGACAAAAAGATTAACAAAAGAAGAATAGTTTATTAATGCATGTAGCATCCATCACACAGGAGAAAAGTAACTCAGGGTGGTTGCTTAGAATTTCTGTTTCTGTAGCTTCTTCAACAAAAAACAAATTTGTAGACAAAGGAAAGCAATTTTAGGCTTCTAAGAGTGGAAACCTGGGAAGGTAAATGATAGGGAACTAATGGATTTGTTTGCAAATTGCTCTGGTGTCCTCTCTGGGCTGGTAAGAGTTTAATCTCCAGTCAAAGAGAATTTATATCCTGCCTTTAGGCAGACATGGAGGAGCTTTTTCTGGGTTTGCTGCTGCTTAATTGCCTTCAGCTTAAAATAATGTTTCAGTCAAAGAGGCATATTTTGGGGTGACATTCTGGTTCCCTTCACTACGCAGCTTCAATAGGTCCCACTTGGAACAATGCTTATAATTCTGTATTTGTAAAGATCCTGGCTAATAATATGTTGCATGTAGGTTTTTCTTTGGACTCTTGGGAGAAGGATGTTAAATGAGTTGTCTTTAATGCTCTCCATCTAGTCTCCTGACTTTGGTTTTGGCTTTGATTCCCGTTTTTCCCAGCTCACTAGCTAGTGAGTCATTTTGCTATATTGACTTCTTTCTTTACAGCACTTTTCTTCTTTCCCTTTATTCTCCCTCTGCTTTTTCCCAGTGTAAACCCCTATCACCTCACACCTAGACCACCTCAGTAATCTAACAGAATTCCTGCTCCCTTTAGAAATTCATTCTGAATAGACCTGCTATATTGGTCACTCTGAGTCCCTCTTTTGTATTTGTCATCTCATTTTCATGATTAAGACCTTCAGGCACCCTATATGTTTTTTCCCCTTCAACTCTAAGTTTTTCTGGCTTTCCAGATTCCCCTCCTTGTTTATTCTAATCTTATTTTCCCTTGCTGATATGCAAGATCTGTTTGAATCAGACTAATCTCACAGTCCCAGAAATATTCTCGTCTTGGCATCTTCATACTTTTTTTTGCTCGGCGCTCTCCATCTTCGAAATTGACTGCTTCTTCGAAATTGCTCTTGCTTCTCCTCTGAAGCCTTCTCTGACTATTCTGGTCCTTGTGGTGGTTTTCAGACTCTTACAGCACCTCATTCATACTATATGTTTTTGTATTATTTGATCTATGTCAAAGATCTTGCCTCTCTAGCTAAATTCTAATAATCTTGATGGCAAGGGGTTATTAAATCCGCTGTTAAGTCTGGCAGTGGACAGCATAATAATACTATTTTGACATTGTCTAGTTCTTAATAATTTACAAGCATTTCTACAAAATTGTCTTCTAATGTTGGAAAGGGAAGTGTTAATCTCTTTTTATGGGTAAGAAAACTAAGACCCACAGTTCCTTACTATACATTATGTTGTATTAGTTGTGATGTTGAAGCTAAGCTCAATCTTGGGGTTTTTGAATCTTTGTAATACACTCTAGAAGGTTGATTCATGGCGCTGCAGGGATATGGTGATACTACACAGCCTGTTAACTAGCCAGAAAACTAGGGAATGACAGCAGTGTTTAATTTAAAACTGTTTTGCTTTGTTTTTCATTGGTCCGTAGGTCTGCATGTTTATGGTAGTATATAAAGCTGATTTTAAATATCAGATGCCTTTTACCCTCCATTGTTGGCTGAGGTTTAAACAGGTGTTTGTGTTTCAATGTTAGGTCATCTTCCCTGCGACACATTTGCTTCTGCAGCAGTTGTACCTCAGGGCTGGCCTGTGGAAGCCCCAAGCTCTGCCCACGCGGGAGTCTTCATTTCCCCAGAGGCCACACAACCTCTGCAGCCCACAGCAGGTAAAGTATTAGAAGCCCTCTTTAGTGGTGTGTGGTTACAGTATCAGTAATCAATATAAATCATCAGATGTATTTTTTAGCAGCATACAGCAGTATAGATAAAAATGTCAAATGATCACAAATATTTTTAAACTTACATTACTGAATTCACATGACAGGACTGAAGTTGTAGTTGAGATATAAGACTTGGGGTTACCTGGCTGGCGTAGCTCAGCAGTTGAGCATTAACCTATGATCCAGGAGATCACGGTTTGATTCCCAGACAGGACACATGCCCAGGTTGTGGGCTCGATCCCCAGTCGGGGGTGTGCAGAAGGCAGCCGATCAATGACTCTCTCATCATTGATGTTTCTCTCTCTCTCTCTCCCTCTCCCTTCCTCACTTTGAAATCAATGAAGATATATTAAAAAACAAAAACAAAAAATTTGGGGTTAATGGGCAAAGAAAATCCCTTTTTAATTTAAAATTCTAGGGTTTCCACATTCCTTTTCTGACACTGTGTACCTGTATTGTTGTTTTTCTAAACCTTGGGCGTTTTTCTCTTCTTTGCCTTTTCTCCACCATTTTTTCTCCCAGTATCCTGTTCTTTAAGGATTGGGACTGTCAGAGTAGGCACAAATGCATTAACTAGCCAGCTTTTTAGTTATGTTTAGGATGTTAGGGTCACAAAAGCCAGATATTCCTGTGCTCTAAGAAAGTGAGTTTTGAATGTAGAGCTACGAGCAGAAAATGATGGATCCTAAATTTCCACCGTATTTTCCTTAGAGCCAGCCAAGGAGGTAGAAATGGCATCGGCAGAAGAGAGGGCATCAACAGAAGCATTGGAAATAATGATGGGACTGAAGCCTGCTGACATGGCACCATCTAGAGAAACAGAGATGGCCTTGGCTGAGGACATGGCACCAATCACAGAAACAGAGGTAGCATTGGCCAAAGACATGGAACCACCTACCAAAGAAGATATGGCATTTGCCAAGGACATGGAATCATCCATTGAATCAGATATGGCTGTAGTCAAGGACGTGATACTACCTATAGAAACAAAGGAAACCCCAGCCAAGGATGAAATACTATTCAAAGAAACAGAGAGGGCACCACCTATAAAAATGGATTTGGCCCCAGCTGAAGGCATGGTATCACTCTCAGAAATGGAGATGGCATTGGCTGAGGATGTTGTATCATCCACAGAAATATCCTCAGCCAAGGAGTTTGCCTTGTCCTCAGAGACAGAGGTGGCCCCAGTCAAGGACATGGCTCCATCTCCAGAAACAGAGATGGCCCTGGGCAAGGACATGGCTTCACCCCCAGAAACAGAGGTGGCCCTGGTCAAGGACATGGCTCCACCCATAGAAACAGAGGCTGCCCTGGTCAAGGACATGGCTCCACCCATAGAAACAGAGGCGGCCCTGGTCAAAGACATAGCTTCACCCCCCCAAACAGAGATGACTCTGGGCAAGGATGTGCCTCTGCTTCCAGAAACAGAGATATTCCTGGCTAAGGATGTTGTACCGCCCTCAGAAACAGAGGTGGCATCAGTTCCAGTTAAGGACATGGAAATTGTACAGACACAGAGAGAAATAAGTGAGGATTCCCAGTTAGGATCTCTCCAGAATAAGGGGCATTCAGCTGCACCTACTTCCATGATTTCACCAGGTATGTACCTACATTTACACTCAGTATTTCTGTCTACCAGGGTGTAGTCTCCAGAAGGGCAAGGGGCAAGCATCATGCCAGGTAAAATAAAGACAGTACTTTGCAAATCTTTATACAGTCCTACTCTTCCACACAATTACTTCTCACCTTCACCCTACTCCAGTAGCTTCTTCATCCTTACTCTCTGCTGATCTTGTTATCGATCAGTAAGCAGTAAGAGAGGACACTCACAACCTCTGCTGCCTCATCGACCTAACTACTTGTGTCTGTATCCAGAGACTCTGCCCTTCCTGTTACTGGAAATGAACATCCCTGCTTCTGATTAAGGCCACCTCTCTATTTTGTACTAGATCCCATCTCTCTTGCCTACTTAAGCACATTGCCCTGGCCATTCTCCCCTTTTTGTCTTGTTTTTAATCCTCACCAGAAGATATTATTTCTATTGATTTTTTTTTTTAGTGAGAGAGGAAGGAGGGGAGGGGGAAGGGAGAGAGGGAAACATCAATGTGAGAGAAAACATTCATGGGTTTGCCTCCCATATGCACCCCAACTGGGGATCCAATCTGCAGCCTTTTTGGTGCATGGGACAATGCACCAGCCACCTGGCCCGCTCCTCTCCTTTCTTACCTCTCAACAGTTTTTTTCTCATTCTATTTGATCATTCCCACCAACATGCCAACATTTGTTATTTTTCCCATCTTAATAACAAACAAAAGCCCTTTCAACTCCACCTTCCCACTACCACTCCACTTTTCAGCTGCCCTAACAGGAACATCCCTGATTCCTCAAATACTATTCCCATTTCCAACTTCTGGAAGGGGGAGAAATAGCTGAAATTGTGCTTCTCTGAAACCTATGTGGTTTTTACTGTTACCTTTAGAACCAGTCACAGCCACAGGCCAAAAGTTCAATTTGCCAGCAGATGAGGCTTCTGTGTTAGAGAAACTAGAGCAGAAGAAACCATTCAGTAGTCAAGCTCCTGAGCTTTCTTCAGAGACCTCAGGTAAGTTGAGAAAGTGAAGTGGATTGTGGAACCACTGCAACTGGGAGTGATGGGGTGGTGGCAGCCATTGTCCCTGGTCATATGGTAGTAATCAGCAGTACTGCTTATGAGGTCAGTTCTCTTTCTTAGACAAATTTTGTCTTGTCTTGGCAGCAATTCACCTTGTTACATACTTTTAAGTGATCACTACATCAACCCAGGACCCCTAAGTTTTAATCCAGGTCAGCTGTTTACTCTTCTGTCCCATGTGGTCTTAGGCAGGTTCTTTAACTTTCCTCAGTTTACTCAGCTATTAAAGGAATATATTGGTTCATTGTTTTATAAACCTCACTAGTCACAGTGTTTGTCACAGCTCAGCAACATGGGCATTGTCTGGGAGCTTTTCAGAAATACACGATCTTGTACCTCACCTCAGACCTTTGGAATCATAATATGCATTTTCACAAGTTTTCCATATAATTTTTATATACATTAAACTTTGAGAGGTACCATTCTCAGATATTTTCTAACTTAAAGTTCGATTATTCAGTGAACTTCAAGATTACATGTTCTTTATTGTAAGCCTGAAACGTGCTATGATTATCAACTTGATTCTCTGCTTGCTTTTCTGTGACTGATCAGAATGTGAACTGGAGGGCAGAGACCATGACTTATTTCACTTACAGTCTCTAGTGTTTTGCACACTGACGGAGCTAGCACCAAGAAGGAGCAAAATAAATGTTTAGTTTTTTTCAAAATGAGCATATCAATAAAGATTTATCAAGTTCTTAATGTGTACAAAGTACACCATGCTAAGGCACATAAATATTTAAGTCCAGGTCCTTGCCCTTGTGTTATATTACAGCCTGGATGGCAAGAGAAGTTCCCAGGCATGAACTCTGAAATCAAAGATTTATATCATTGAAATAAACAGTATAAGAGATGGCACCAAATAGCTACTAATTAATTGCCAAATTGTTATAAATGCTGTAGGGTGCGAAAGCCTAGCAATTTTTTGAGAGAAGCAATAATTGACCTGAGGTATTAAATAAAGGGTAGGATTTGGAGGACTTTGGAGGGGTAAAGACAAAAACAAAAGATACTGTTTAAGTATTTTAATATTCTCTGAAGTTATTTCATTGAGTCAGACTTGGCAAGAGCTGTCCTAGACCTGCTTCTTAATGGCCTCTCTGGGATATCGGATCCATGCCATGTTGCCCTGGAGGCAGCAGATTGAACCAGTGGCCTGCCTGAAACTTTTCAGGAGGGCTCATCCCAGTTGTTTGGATTCGTTACCCTACTGGGCATTATGTATATTCCTCTGTCTTTGGGGAAGTACATTTAGGAATAGAATGTTGAAATCTAACACATGCACCTTTTAAAGGAGGAGGCTCCGGTTCTGGAATGAGGAGAATCTTTCTCTGGCCTAAATTCTAACTCAGTGTCTCTTTCCTTTTCCTGCTCTCCGTCGTCGTCGTCTTTTTTTATTAGCATAAGTCTGGCCTTCTGGTCTGTTTCCCAGAATTCACCTGGTTAGTTTGATAACTAATTAGCATAATACCGGTGACAGACTCTTAGAATTATAAATTCTGTCCAAGATCATATGTATTTCATTCAGTTAATAAATACATTTTACCAAAAAAGATACAAGAGCTTACCATTTTATTGCAGAATTGAGAATTAAGTACCTAGTAAAAATAATGACAAATATAAAAAAGTGTCAGATGAGAGTCATAGGCAGTAAGTGCTTATTATAGGGGTTAGAAAAACTCTGAATTTCTTTTCTCTAGTTTTAAATACTTTGTAAATATGTTTGAAAAAAAATTTTTACTTGAGGTGATGATCTTTGTTAAATATTTGCTAATCCCAGTTAAGGGTGAAAAATGTTTCAGAAAAAAACTTTTCCTAAATGAATTAGTATGTGGGTTGGTGAATATAGACTACTTAAATGAGTCACTAAGTGGACTTTTAAAGAAACAATAACAAGGAGTTTTCTGTTTGGAATCTTGGCCACCTTCGTGTATTGCAGGTTCCCTTCCCACTCAAGCCAAACAAGTGTGCAGACCCAGTGACCGCAGGGCCGCTCGGTCCAGGCCTGCCAGGGTCCCTCCTGAGCTGCTGGGAGGCTCTTCACGGAAGACTCTCGATCCTGGGCTGGGCCCCTGCTCTTTGTCTGAGTCAGGTTGGGTCTCTGGTTCATTTTCCTCTGGTGAGCCTGGGAACCAAAGGAAAACTACTCATGTTGATTTCCTTGAACCCCAGAGGGATCTTGGCAGGGAGGCCTGGGATGTAGAAAGCACAGCAACAATGATGAAGAAAAAAAAGAAGAAACCAAAGCAAAAGAGATATTCTCAACCCCGGGCTGGGGGACCTTGGGATGATGACAGTGCAAAAGAGGCTAAAGGTAATCCCTTTGCAGCTGACCCACAAAAATCAGGTGTTTTCCCCAGCCAGTCTACCACTGTGGGCACGGAATACAGACTGGCATCCAGAGAAAACCTGAAAAAGGAATGTGAAAATGACTCCAGAACAGCCAAACTGGCAGCTGAGAACTTTGTCTCAGAAAGCCCTGATGTTCCTTTGTGTCCTTTGGAAGAACCCCCGAAAGCTGCAGTAAATTCTCAGCCCAAGCTGAGTGTAGAGGCAGAAGTCAAAGGTAACAAGTCAGGGCCACAGAGCCAAGACAGGAAATCTTTGCAGCAAGGTGAATGCAAACCACAGACTACTCCCCACCCAGAGACTCCTGGGGATAAAGGTCAGACAGTAGGTCTGACAGAAGTTTCTGCACACAAAGTAGAAGTTCCTTTGGAGGTCAGACCCCAAGAGGGTTGCTTTCCTGTCTTAGACCAAGAGGCTATAGCAGGAGTTTTAAAACCCATGGCAGCAAAAGAACTGCCTAATTTGATACCCACTTTAACAACAAGTAATGCATTAGAAAGTAGTCTGAAAAAAGAGAATGGTGAAAGGAAAATGACTAAGCTGCAGATTGACAAACAGAAAGAGTTCTCTGAAGTAGCTGAAGATGTTAAAGAACTTAACAAGGAAGCTTTTCCCGAGCAAAGACAAGAGATGAGCATTTTAGCTTCTGAGCAGCCACCACAGGACAAGGTTCAGATTCCTGGGACAGGGAATGAACCATTTAAGAGAATGGCAGGTGATGGCAAAAGCAGGAAGGGAAGGGGGAATTCTGGGAAAGTGAGAGCGAGCTCTGGGAAGGCAAGAGCAAGGACTGAGCTGCCGGTCCTTCCAGACAGCCAGGAGGATGGCAGAGCTGTCCTTGTGCCAAGTGAGCCAGCCTCTAAAACAGAAAGAATGACTTCTGGGGATAAGAGTCAGGAGCTGGGGCGGGATTCTTCCAAGCAGCTGAGGGTCACGGCTGATCTCCCTGAGGCAGTGGTGAAGGGGGAGCCTAAGGAGATGACTGACCCTAGTGTGGCAAGCACCTTGCAGGCATTGATTCCTTTGGGGACTGGGTCAGGCAAGACTCAGACTTCCGGTGCTACAACAGAAAGAGCAGCTGTGGCCCTAGATCTAGGTGTCAGTAACCAGAGCAAGGAAGGAAAGTGTCCTTGGATGGATCATGAGGCAGCTCCCTGGATTTCTGAAAAACCTAAAAAAAGAAGCAGTGAAGGCAAAAACAAAAAGTTTAAAAATAATTATTCTGCACAGCCTGCTAGGGTGGAGAGCAAGGAAGATGTCCTCAGCCCACCTTTTATAGGGAAGGATGGCGGTGTTGGTGGCACTCCCCATCCAAGCAAGGAGTTAGGACTCAGTTTCCCCATAAATCATGAGCCTTTGCTTTCACAGACATCAAATATACCCACAGTGGAGGTAGTTGACCAGAAGGGTAGGAATGTTGAGGTTAACTCTTTTGAGCTTGGGGCTCTTGGTGGGAACAAAGCAAACACAGTGAAAGATTCTGCTGTTACTGAAGCAGCTACCAAGGTGACAGATGTGAGCTGCCAAGACCAAATCCAGGGGGCAGGATCTGTTCCTTCAGTACTGGCTGAGGAGCATAAGGCAGATGCAGCCAAGGGGCACACTGCAGTGACTGACAAACCAAGTAAAAGGAATGATGATGGAAAAAGCAAAAAGGTTAAAAATAGTTTTTCTGAGAAGCACATTTTGGAGAATAAGACAGATACAACAAAAAGACATGTTCCCGTGGAAGCCACAGGAGACCACAGAATTGAAGGAATAGGCTATGTGGATGAAAATAGAAATATTACATATACCTGCTCCAGAACACCACCAGAGTTGATGAATAAATCAGCCCCTCTAAAGGCTCTGGATTCAGCAGCCTGTGAAAAACTGCCCACTCCTATTCCTCAATTAGTAAAGGAAGGTGATTCCTTTACAGACGCCTTGGCAGAAAGTAGGCAAGAGACAGCTCCAGCCCAGATTTCTAAATTATTAGTGGTGGGTAATTGCAGCAAAGATGGAGTCCTGGATCAAGAAAGTTCCAAGGTTCCCTCTGCTCTTATGCCCTTTACAAGCACAGGAGGAGGTGTCCTTACTTTTACAGCAGCCATAGAAACAGTGAAGAGTCCTGGAGATAACTGTCTTGAGAATAAAGGTGAGCTTGCTGATCCCATGAAAAATAAAGCAGGGATAGATGGAGGGCATGTGGTAGGAGAATCTGAGTCAGTGCCCAGTGGTGCTTCTAAACATTCAGTGGAGAAAATCACAGAACTAGCAAAGGGGCACCATTCTGGAGTGCCAGGAGAAGACCAGAGCCTCCCAAGTGAGCTCAGAGGCCTAGAAGTGTGTGCAGATGGGAGTAATTTTGCAACATATCCAGTAAACAAAAAGAAGGAGTCCGAGAAAGGTTCTGCTTCAGTTCATATTCCTGACTTACTGGGAGACAAAACACAAAAGCCCCTTTTCTGTGAGGACCAAGATGCTGAAGGTAGAGAGGCCAGGCGCCCAGCTAGTTTGAGTAAGGAGGTGGACATGACTCTCCTGCCTCCAGGAGGTGGAAAGGATAAGTTGAAAGGAATTAGCCCAGCTTCTAAAATCAC